CCTCATCATCATCCTCATCCTCATCATCATCCTCATCATCATCCTCATTATCATCCTCATCATCATCCTCATCATCATCCTCATTATCATCCTCATCATCATCCTCATCATCATCCTCATCATCCTCCTCCTCATCATCATCCTCCTCCTCCTCATCATCATCATCATCCTCATCATCATCATCATCAGCATCATCATCAAAACCACCACCAGCCCCACCAGCACGGTTTTTGGGGGTTAGACAGAAACAGCAGTGTGTCTCCCGACAAAACACAATTTCCCTTTCCTTTTCAGTTTATGTTTAAGCCCTTGCCGGTTAACAAGCGATCAATTAGAGCTGTGTTTACTGTGTACTGACGAGTGACCACTTGCACACACATCGCCGTTTCCTAGGTAACGCTCATAACATCCCATTTTCCCTCATCCATTTAAAGGAATCTGCGTCCAATCGAATCGTTATCTCTGAGGGAGGGAGACTTTGATACTGAAAACAATGCTGCTTATTCTACTTGGACGGTAAGATCTACACCAACATTGTTAAGCGACCACATCTTAATTGGGAATGCACCTCGCCGTTGGCATCGTGTAAGAGTGAAAATACTGATACACAAATGCATGAGCCAGCATCAGAAACCACTCCTGGATTAAACAAGCATCATCTGCGAATGGCGGTGAATATGTGAGTCGGAGCCACTTTTGGCGAAGGTCAAACCATGCCAGCCTCCTGCCACCAGCAGTCCTAGCGACCTACGCCCCCGCCTTGAGTCGCATCGCCGATCCGTCTAACAATCAGTCGTCTAAACCAACTCAGACGCAAAGAAACGGAATCTGGCTAGACTCTGGGCGAGAGATGAGACCAACTGGCACTTTGCTGACCAGGTTTTATGCAGCATTCTCAACCTCGAAATATAACGGTCGCCTTCGATTCAGACCGACTGGTAGTCTAGACAGGGGGACGGTTAACTTATGAGCCATAACTCGGTAGAGCTCAAGGATTCTTACTTATCCAGAAACTAACGTTCCTATTGACCAACGTGCACAAATTATTCACCCTCTAATCGT